TCAGTTTAATGACTCAACTAAAGAATGGCACCTCTGACAATGCTGCCTGAATGTCAGACTGGACTGTGAGGCTAAAATCTACTTGATAAGCATTAGCTTGTACTCCGAGGCCAAAGATAGGCCTGATAACCAGGCCCTGCTCCCCATTGCATTTTTACTTGTGCATGTGCCTATTCTTTCACACACACACAAGTTTCATAAGAAAAATTAAATGGTAAAATTACACAGAATGATACAGCATGAAAACACGTCTTTCAACCCAAATAGCCCATGTTTACACTCAACATGAGCCTCCACAACTCCTATTCCACTCTCTCACCCCCTTTATTCACTTCTCCCTCACGTATGCATCCTAAATACAGTGGAAGCCGGTTCATACATTGGAAGAAGTTGGGATGTCATCCTGACGTGAAAGGGGCTATACAAATGTAATTTGTTGTTAAGTCAGACACATTGGGCTGGCCGTTGTGTCCAGTTTAAGTGGAGTCCAATGTTAACCAAAGTTTCACTATATATTAATCACATTGGGATGGCATGACAGCAGGTGGAGATTTTGTGTGCGATGACATTCTTCCACGCACACAGGTCCCTACATTTTAACAAGTATTAATGTGCTTCACATGTTGGGATCCTGGATTAGAATTCTGGTCAACAGCAATTCTCAATTCGAGGCCAAAGAGATGTGATCTGTCAACAAAGAGATCAGTAGACATTCCTTGTACAAGAACAGACTTCTGCCAACAAAAGTTTCAAATACTTTCAGCTGCTGTACAAAACATAGAGGATTATCTCCTCCCTTCAAACTGCACATCCAGTCACTAGGGATTCAACACACTTGAATAGAAGAATGGGATGGAAGAGCCTAGAACTGGGATCCTGACACTGATAAATACATTCAGCATCACACAAGAGTGAATGACAATGAATAAAAGAGAGAGAGACTTGGAGACACACAGAGAGAAAGAAGAAAACAGACAGAAACAACAACAACCTGCACTTATACCCCGCCTTGCACGCGGGGTAGCATCTCAGAACGCTTAACAGTGGCAGAGCCTGACTCCGAGCCGGGGGAGGGCGGATGTGGCTGTAAGCACAGTTGAAGAGGAAGGTTTTCAGGCGGGACTTGAAAAAGGGAGAGAGGGGGCAAGCGGTGGGATTGAGGGAGAGTGTTCCAGAATTCCGGGTGTAGTGGCTGAAAGCATGACCTCTGATGGTGGGACCATTTCCCCCCTGCTCGGGTCCCGACCCAACTGTCCAGCGCCTTGGGACGTCCTCCCGACGTGAAAAGCGCTCTATAAATGTAATCTTGATGTTGTTGTTGTACGAGGCACGAGCAGGAGGCTGGTGCCAGTCGAGCGGAGGCGCCGAGTGGTGGATTGGGGAGTGAGGAGGTGGGAGAGGTACGGAGGTGCCAGAGGTGGAAGTGATTTGAACACAAGTGTGAGGATTCTGAAGTCAATCCATTCGATGATTGGGAGCCAGTGGAGCCTGGCCAGAACTGGTGAGATGTGGGTACGGAGGTCAGTATGCAGGCAGCAGAGTTCTGAGTGAGCTGGATGTTTTGAATAGTGGAGCTGGGGAGACTGTTGAGGAGTGTATTGGAGTAATCCAGGCAGGAGGTGACAAATGCATGCCCGGGGGGGTTCAACTGCATTTGGGATAAGGTATGGTCAGAGGTGGGCAATGTGGTGGAGGTGGAAGAAGGCGGTCCTGGTAAGGGACTGGATGTGGGGAGGAAGGAGCTGGGGGTCAAACCGGACACCTGGAACAAGATCAGTAAGAAAGAAAAAGCAAGATCCAGGGAGAGAAAAACACACACAGACATACACAGAGAGCCGGAGCCAGGGAGAGAGAAAGACAGAGCGAGCAAGAGAAAGAGAGAGCACGCGAGACACCACATAAAAGGGAGACCGGCCAAAAGATAAAGCAAAGGAATTTTTAAAATTCTTAGTAATTATTTTTCTAAGAAGTTAGCTCTCTTTTGGCAGACAACGGAGGTGTGGGATTTCTGGAAAAACAAAAGAGGGATCCCTGCGGCATTTGTGAGCTCAGAAATAAATGCTTTCAAGTACATGTTGTATCGAGTTCTCCAGTTCATTTACATTATGTAAATTAAAGGGGGAAAAAAAGGATAAAGAATGAGGAAAGACCATGTGTGGCACCAAGCCCACTGTCTCCTCACATGAGGCACATCAGTCCCAACACAGACTCCCCCCAATTTAATTGTCTCAAAGAAACAGTTATACATCAAACTTCAAAAGAGGAAACCTCTGGCAAATGTATGCTCAACCCACTCAAGTAAACCAGCAAATCTCTGGCCTCTGAGTAAGGGTTTATTGGTGTCCAAACCGGGATGTTCGATGGTGTGTGTTTTTTTTAAACATGGAGTGATTGCTGAATGGAGGTTGTTGTTTCAACAGATTTGACTTTATTATTTCGCCAGCTGTGGTTTTACAGATAATTCATGCACTGTGCCAGCAGCAAAAGAGCTGGGATGTTGTGCAACGTCAATGGTGTAGGTCTGGGAAGTCCAACCTTTTGGCTCCTGAGGGCCAGGTGCCGGATTTCAGAAATGTCCACAGGCCACATAAGCAATATTTTTGTGTTTTCCATTCCAGAGATGTAATCCGTAAGAATCGTATAGAAATCCTATATTTTAAATTGTGTAACTATTATTAATTTCACGATATTTTAGTTACAATGCAAACCTTAAATAGGCAATGTAAAAACTTCAAAACAATATTACACTTATTGCATCTGGCCTGCGAGCCATCCCCTGGGCCGAATGCGGCCCGTGGGCTGCGAGTTGGACCATCCTGGTCGAGATCATAACTTTCAGTGCTGTTCTTAAATGACCACAATTTTGACTGCATTTGCTGTTCCTTCTTGCCATTCATTTCCTATATCCACTTGAGGGGGGTGGGGGGAGATAATAATAATCCTTGCATTTGAATCCTAGCAACTTTCACATCGGGAGGATGTTTCAAAGCGCATCACAGGATACACTGTGAAGTGGATTGAATTGTATTTTGTCGGCACCATGGCAGCCAATTTGCACAGTGTAAAATCATAATTATAGCCAATGAAGTGAATGACCAATTTTATCTGGGGGTTTGCTGAGAAACAAACAAGAGAGAGAGAGAGGTGAAGCTCCCTTCTCTTTTTGAATGTGCCATGGGATCTTTAATGTCCATCTGAACAGGCAGACGGGACCTCGGTTTAATATCTCATCCAAAAGATAGCACTTCCAACAATGCAGCCCCCAGCAATATGTTGGAGTATCATCCTAAACCAAGCTCAGAGTCCTGGTGTGGAGCTTAAATCCACAATTTTCTTGCTCAAAAATGAGAAGAAAATTTATTGTTCTCTCATCCCCTGGCACTTGCTAATTTTGTACTTTTGCTATTAGTTTGCCTCCCACAATCCACATTAATAGGCTGCTACATCTATACTGAAATCCTACGAGACTTAGGTAAAAAGATTTGGAATGCATCCCACCTCAATCCTCGCCAATGAAAACATTTAGCTCCAACAGTCTTTCCTCAATTTTTAACCCTTTTATATCAGGCATCCTGCTGCACTATGCACTATATAAACCAATGCTGACATTGCCAAATAATGAAGCTGGATGCAGAGGGTGACTTAACTTCTGGCTAGGTTTTCTTTAAAAATCGATTGGCTTTATTGTTATTTAGGAATCGATAATTGGTATAACTGAAAAGTTCCCATACTATATATGTAGAATGAACATCTAATGGTGCTGGTTATTTAGTTACTGGCTCAACAGCACCTGAAAGTGATACCACTGGCAAACTCTCATTGTAAAAAAAGGCATCAGAACTCCCAAGTTTTTGGTGTCACCATTGCAGATCATCCAAAACTCTGCAGCTCGTGTCCTCTCACGTACCAGGCTCCGTAACCCCATCACTCCCACCCTCGTCCGACTCCACTGGCTCCCCATCTCACAGAGGATCGAGTTCAAGATCCTCTTCCTCACCTTTAAGACCATCCATGGCCTTGCCCCCTCCTACCTCTCTGACCTGCTGACTCCCTACGAGCCTGCCCGCTCCCTCTGTTCATCAGGTTCTGGCCTGCTGCATGTCTCCCGCCCGACCCACCCGACCATCGGTGGCCGGGCTTTCAGCCTCTTTGCCCCACACCCTGGAACTCCTTCCCACGGTCCCTTCGCCTCACTTCCTCCTTTACCTCCTTCAAGGTCAGTCTCAAGACCTTTCTCTTCGACCGTGCCTTTGGTCTCCCTCCCACATCTCTGCCTTCCCTCACCCTACACTACCCCTCCCCCATGCTCGGGCCCCGACACCTGACTGTCCAGCGCCTTGGGACGTCCTCCCAACGTGAAAGGCGCTCTATAAATGTAATTTTGTTGTTGTTGTTGTTAACAACAACTCGCATTTATATAGCACCCTTCACATGAGCAGTGTTACGGAATGCTTAACAGCGATATAACTTGATGCCGAGCCAGAAAGGGGAGGGCAGGTGGCGAGAGGCACAGTCAAAGAGGAAAGTCTTCAGGTGTGATTTGAAGACAGGCAGAGAGAGGGCCAAGATAGAGTGATTGAGACAGAGAATTCCAGAGATTTGGGGCATAGCAGCTGAAAGCACGGCAGCCATTTTTGGAGTAGAGAGGACGAGGGATGTGCAGCAGATACATGCCAGCTGAGCAAAGGAGGTGAAGTTCCATTTTGGGGAAATCCATTTTGCATAGCTTGGTAACAAATACTTCCAGTCAGCTGCTGCGCTTACACTTACACAGAACAGATACCAGCAGAGAATCCAACACGATGAGATACACCGGCTCTCTGTGCTAGATGTTGTCAAGGATTGGTACGTTAGTGAGTTTCAAAACAGGCACTAGGGATAGTGTTCTCTCAATCCAAAGTCTTGTCATTGACGCTAATAGAAATCGGCCTTTGTAAAATCGCAGTTCACCATTACAAAGAAACGCACATACAGACAATGATGCAGTCTCAGTGACTTACCTGTGACTGGGGCTTCAATATCCAGCATGGTCTTCTCCTGACGAAGAATGGATGCTCCTTCTGTTATAATCCTCATAGCGACAGTCTCATCCACCCGGCCTTCCTTGGTAAGGTGAGCCTTGAGAACATCCACACGAGGCTTCCCATCGTGATCAAAAACCTCCTTAATAGTAAGCCGGTGGTTTGGAGGAAAGGGGACAGCTGTAATGAAGGAAAACAATCATTATCCGATGCCATGAGAAAGAACCCAACTCAGATTTGATACTGTCTCTTTAGTCTTAAACACACATACTACTTAAATTGGAGATATAATTTCAAAATACTTTTACAATATTTAATCACAGAGAACTGGGCTCAAGCAGGAAAATGGGATTAGATTAGGTGCTTTCTGTGGAGAAAACCACCAGTGCAGACTTGATGGTCCAAATGAACTAGTTTACCTGCTGAACCACTCAGTAATTCAAACTTGTTTAATTACTTTAAGTTGGCTTCCTAAAGCTTGCTGGGTCAACTCATCTCAAAAGGTTGGCTAGGACTTTGAGCTCGGCATAAAATGGTGTCTCATGTTAATTAAAACTAAACTACCAGTGAAATCCCAACACCCTTTGAGGACCCTAAATTAATTATGTAGGTTTCTATACGTTCAACCACTTTTTGACTTAAGCCCAGGCACACATAAACATCCACCTGACAACCACCCACCAAAGCCCACAACACTGAAGTACATCCAAGTCGAACATTGTACAAATACTGCAGCCAGCTATTGAATATCAATGCTTCCAGAGACCTGCAACTCTTAAGCAAATACTGTCTGTAGAAGAGAAGCATGGAATTGGCAAGTAGATAATAATTTCAACATAGTTAATAGAAGATGACTGATGGTAGATAAGTAGAGACGGCAACAGTTAGGGGATGCAATCCTGGTGCTTGTTCTGAATCCCAAGATTTCGGAGGTTTAATACCCCAAATCCCAGGATGCTAAATTTTGCCTCATAAAAATGCCAGGGAAGTCAGCCAACAATGCAGGCGCTGAGCCAGTCACTGACTCATCTCCCTCCCCATCTACCTCAGCAACACAGCAGCCTGACAAGGGACTGACCAAGACAAGGAAGAGAAGGGGATTAGTGATGGGCAGATTTATTTGTGAGTAGAGGAAGAGGCACATATGGAAAGAGCGACAGAAAACAAGTCATTGGGACATAGAGAGAGCGACAAACACAGTATATAAAAGAGGGAGAGAGATACACAGGAGAGACACTGACAGAAAGCGAGAAACAAAATGACAGAAGGTGACCAAATGGGAATTGTATGGAATTGAGCTGACCAGAATCCAACATGGTATTTGAAAAGTTTGGAACTCAGAACTATAATTGTGTGGTCATTTAATGCTCATGGCATGTGTGCAAGCAGAATTGATGGAAACCACTAAGGTTGTAGTCACTGTAAGTATGAAACAGAGGCTCTTTAAATCCCCCTAATTAAAATCATACTCAACGGTTCCTGGTTATATAAAAATCAACCCCACAATGCTGTACAATACAATACACAGAAATTAAAATCTGTCAGCAGGGAGCTGGGGCTAGATCAAAGGTCTACCCATTTCTGATAGAAATGGGACAGGAGAGAAAGGGAAAGCTTGCAGGAGAGGAGGAATGCTCCATTCTCTCTGCTCACCTCCAGTAGTAGGACACAGCTCAAATACTAACTCATGCTCAATCACAGTTCAACAACTTCATCCAAGGCCAGTCAAAGTGATGAAAGAATACAAAGAGCAGGAGGAAGGATGCTAGGACATAGTAGCAAGTGCACGTGCAGCCGAGTGAATCAGCAGTCAGTTTTAATCTTGTATAAAGAATCACTTTCAGGTATTCATCCAGCAAATGCAGCCAACTGTACAATTGCAAAACCTCCTGCTCAAATATTGCACCCCAGTATGAGGAAGACAGGCATTGATCATACCCATCCACTCCTGGCTTTGGCATCTCAGCACTTTCGCTTCCAAAGCTTCTTGAAAGAAGACAGTAGCCCCATACCCACAGACTTCAGAGCTATCTTATCTCAGCTGCATCACAACCTTAATCCACAAACGATTGAAACATTTGAATTGACGAAAGAATATGAAGACTTTCTGAACCGGTATGAGATCTATACCAGCAAAATGCGAAAATGGGATCAGGGGAAGACAGTGATGTTCTGAATCCTTTACATTGATCTGGTTGAACTCTTTCTATTATTCAGCAGGACACGCCATACCAACAACTTGGAACAGTGTATATATAATCTTGGGAAGATGTGTCCATTATTCTTTGCCGTTGGTCATTCAAATTATGCAAAATGGACGCCACTGAACCATCCCATTTTGCTCAATATGGAGAATACACAACCAGCCGTAAGAGAAATCTTGGACAGTCGTGCTTTAATTGTCAGGCGCAATTCCTTTGCAGATATCCAGTTGATCTCACACCTGAGCAAACCGTGAATGCTGAAGCAGCATCGTGACTAACTGGGATTGCTACATTTAGTCAGTATATTTTCAGCAATAAAGCCCTGGATGATTAAATGATCAATGTGCTTCACGATAGTTGGGCATCTTTTGTCTAAAGCAGATATGGACAAAAATAAGGAAGTTGGCCAAGAAAGAAAGTGCTTTTGAACATCACGAGATAACTCGGACTTCAAAAAATGAATCAGCGTTATACGACTACAATATTTTGCACACAAAACACACAGTCACTACACTTTATAGTATATTCTGTGAAGCGCTTTAAGACATCTCGAAGGTGTGATAAGGCATTGTATCAAATTCAAGGATTATTATTATTACTACTACAATGGATCCCTTCGCAGAGAATTCATGTGATGATAATCTCTACTGCATATCAACAGGTTGTGTTATGTCTAAGGATGTAAGCGACGAACTGACTAACTGATGAGAAAGGTCAGAAATAGTAGGAGGAGTTTCACAAAGGATGCTTTACAGATTCTTTTCGTTTTGAGTAACCTATTCCTTATCAGAGGGTGAAGAATTTTGCTTCAGCAGCAGTAACTGTAAAGTTGGAAATAAACGATCGGCGAATTCAGGATTTGCAGGGGATAACAGATTTATTTGGACAACTGCTGCATCTTGCAACTGTTTATGGAAGTGGACCTATTGAACGTTTTCAGCTTTCCATTGACACCAGTGCCACTATCTCTAGCTCAGATTGATGGCGCCATGATCGAAACAGGCAATTCTAAGGTCATGGCGAAAATGGAAGCCAAAATCACAAGCAAATCACCTGTGTCTACTGATGTTTGCATCTTGGATGCCATGTTCCTGACGCAATTCTTGACAAATTTGCGAGTAACATTTGGTGGTGTTGCCAGAAAAGCAGGATAGATACACTTTGTCTGTGATACATACAAGAATCTATCAATAAAGAAAATCAAAAGAAACAAACGAGGCCCCATAATCAATGAGTTGAATGTTTCTGAACCTAAACAAAGCCAACCTAAAGATTTTCATAACACCCTACATTCAGGAGCTTTCAATATGTCATTATTGTTGTTTCTAACTGATGAACGGCAAAATGCCATATGTACATCAATATATATGATCAGAGGTGTACATAGGTCTTGACAAAATAGTTTACCTTTTCTACATACAAGAGGGTATTATGATTCGAGAAGACTCAACTGTGTACATGAAGAGGCTGATACCAGGATAGTGCTCCACTTGTTTAATGTGACAAGGATCCTTGAGATACAAAATATAGTTCTGCACTGTTATGATACTGATCAGCTGTGCATCTCTTGCAAAAGAGATGGACAAGTAAAGCATTTGATTAAGAAACAATGCAACAAGTGGAAACAAAAAATGTCACTTTCCATCACAGTGATCTGGGAGGTGCTGACCAAAGAATAATAAACATTCCCACCAATTCTGGGGCAAGACCTTCAGCAGTATCTGGAAAAAATATGTGCACTTTCCTTCCGGGCTTCTAAAGGTCATTTTTCTTGTTTTGGACACACCCTCATTTTTCTATGTAAGATCCTAACTTCACAGAGTATCGGCCTGGCTCAGTATTAGCACTCTCACCTCTGAGTCTGAAAGTTGTGGGTTCGAGCCCCACGTCAGGACTTGAAATCACACTGTCTAAGCTGACAATGCAATGCTGGAGTTTGTTTTGCATTGTCAGAGGTGTTGTCTTTTGAATGATGTTAAACTGAGGTCCCATCTACTTGTTCAGGTAAATGTTAAAGATTCCATGGAACTATTCGAAAAGAGAAGGGAATTTCTCCTGATGTTCTCACTAAACAAAGGGCAGTGACTGATCACCAGTCAGACTTGGCAGTCAAGCCGAGGACCTGTTCGATTGGAGGGTTGTCTCCCTGCTTTGGATTGTGTGATAGGCTCTATTTCTGTGGTTACCATTATCATTGAGGTTGTGTTTGTCTTAGGATCTTATTGCCTTCAGTTTTGGGGGCGGAGAGTGCAAGGAGTTAATTAGCCAGGCTTGGTGACTTAACCAAGACAATGTCAAAGGTCCATCATCTGGCATTTTTCCCAAACCAAATCTATACAGTTATATGTGTGTTTTCTGTGGATCGTGTGCGTGTGTAGATGGTGTATGTGTGTGCAGGGGAATGTGTGAGGTGTGTGAGTGAGTGTGTCTCTCTCTCCCGTTTCACTTGCGTACACTCCTCTCCAGGTAGAAACACAAGGGAGAAAGACTAAAACTGGCAGAAACTCATGGGTTGTCCTCCCAGTTTTGTTCACTTCCTGGTCTCTCTTGGGAGTCCCATAACGTGGTGGTCAGAGCACTTGTCTTGCAAGTAAGAGGACCCGGGTTCGATTCCCGGGCAGGGCAAAACCTTAGGCAAGTTTCCTTACGACTCCACACACCTCTGTTTACCTAGCAGTAAACAGGAACCTGGTTTTTAGTTGATTGACGGATCGCTTTCCGGGAGTAATAATCCCTCCCCTCCAAAAATGAGTAATTTAGTCACTCAATCCACGACTGTTTGTTGGACACTGTGGTGCACAATTGGCTGCCATGTTTCATCCACAAAATACAGTCAATTCACTTTACAGTATATTATGTGAATTGCTTTGAGACATCTCAACAATGTAATAAGGTGCTATATCAAATGCAAGGAGTATTATATTATTATAACAAACAAAATTGGTCACTCACTCCATGACTGTTTATGAGACATTGCTGT